ATAACGGGCAAACCAATGAAAATACACCCTAATACTCATAACAATTCAATTTATATAAAATCCCAACTCCGCTTGAAAGGTTGACAAAATCGCCCTCGGGCCCACGTACCCGGATTCCAAAAAATTTCGACTGAACCTCACGAACTCAAATATATAATTAGCTCTCAATTTCATGTCCAAAATCGTGGTCAAAATCCAAGAATACAAATTTCCTAGGTTTTCTTCAAAATCCCAAAATTTCTACTAATTTACATGATTTTCCATGTTAAAATCTAGATATAATCCAAGTAATTGACTTGCAATAGGTGGGAATCACTTACCTTGACATGGATGATGAAAATAGAGCTCCAAAATCGCTCCTAGGTCGGCTCCCATGGAAGAAATGAGATGAAATGAGCCAAACCCATTTCTTTACACTTATACACTGCCCAGACGACTCTTCTTCGCGTTCGCGAGACCTCCCATCGCGTTCGCGAAGAAGAAAATTCCCAAAAACCATTTTCCAAACTCTTCTCAGACAACCTCTAGTTTAATGGCCATAACTTTTTGTATAGAACTTCAAATGACAAATGGTTTAAGGTTTTTTAACTAGACACCAAGATCTACAACTTTCTTGTTTTGGTCATCTCCCAATTCCTTGTAGATTTTGAGATATAAGCTTCCAAAGGCAGCCCTGTGCAACACAAATTTTTTCTTTATCTTTCCGGATAGCTTGTAGTATACCAGCCATAACTTTTTGTACACAAATCAAATTCTAAATGGTTTACTTTTCTGAAAACTAGACACAAAGGGCTACAACTTTTATTTTTGGATCATCTCCAAATTCCTTACAGATTGCAAGATATGAGCCTCCAAAGTCAGACCTGTGCAACAGAGATTTCCTTCTTCACGATCGCGAGGATCACTTCGCGAACGCAAAGAACAGAGTCCCTGAAGCCAAATCCTTCTTTCTGAACGCGGGAGGATCCTCGCAAACGCGAAGAACAACACCAGACACCAGCATCAGCTATTGCAAAACAGCACGAAATGATCCAAAACCACCCCGAAACACACCCGAGGCCCCCGGGGCACCGTCCAATCACACAAACCAGTCCCATAACATAACATGGACCTGCTTAAGGCCTTAAATAACATCAGACAACATCGAAATCATAAATCATACCCCAATACAAGCTTAATGAACTTTAGACTTCAAACTTCTACATTCGATGTCGAAACCTATCAAAGCACGTCCGGTTGATCTCAAATTTTGCACACAAGTCACTTTCGACATTACGGACCTACTCCAACTTCCGGAATTGGATTCCGACCCCGATATCAAAAAGTCCACTTCCGGTCAAACTCCTCAAAAACCTTCAAATTTCTATATTTAGCCAAATGACTCCAAAATGACCCACGGACCTCCGAATTCACTTCCGATCGCGCTCCCAACACCAGAATTATCATACGGAGCTATTCCCAGACTCGAAATCCCAAACGGACATTGATAACACTGAAATGCACTTCAACCCAAACTTATGAAATTCTTCCAAAAATGCTAACTTTCACAATAGATGCCGAAATGTTCTCGGGTCTTCCAAAACCCGATCCGGACATACGCCCAAGTCCGAAATTATCATACGAACCTGCTGGAACCTTCGAATCCCGATTCCGAGGTCGTTTTCTCAAAAATCCAATCTCAGTCAATTCTTTCAACTTAAAACTTCCGAAATGAGAATTCTTTTTCCAAATCAACTCCGAACTTCCCGAAATTTAATTCCGACCATGCGTACAAGTCATAATACCTTAAGTGAAGCTGCTCATGGCCTCAAACTGTTGCACGACGCGCTAGAGCTCAAAATGACCGGCCGGGTCGTTACAATATTAAATCACGCCATTGATGCGCGATATTTGAGCTCAGAGAACATCGAAGAAGAGAGAGTGAAAGTCGGTTCTGGAGAAAAGCTCACCGACTGTTAGCTCTTTCATCTGAACATATATATTAAAAAAAATAAAAAAATTAATAGAGTATAAAATTTGTACGCTTCTTCCGGATAAAATTTCTTGTAATATCAAATAAAAAAAAGTTTGGGTAAGATGTTTTAATATATCTCATTGATTTCCTAATTAGTATTTTTATTGTCACCATCAATTTGATTACAAAAGTCGAGCATAAGAAGAACGTAAAGTTTAAAAAGAAAGCACATTTCCCATTCTTTCACTTTTAAACCCTCTAAATTTTTTTCTTTTTTTCAAAAAAAAAAAATGCTGAAAGGTTAATGGGATGGTGGTAAATTTGCTGAGTTTTATTGGTTAAAAGTGGCAGGTAGACTACACAAACGAAAATTAATAAAATGATCACTAAAATTTGGATTTGTACTGCATAGGACATATTAAAGGGGAAACGCTTCTTATTAAAAAAAAATATTCTTAAGGTTCGAACTTGAGATCCCTTACAGTAATAAAATGCAATTCCACCCCTAATTGAATTGCGCATTTGAAGTTTTGAAAGGCTTAAATTATGAATCTAGGTTCAAAAGAGCTGGATCATCAACGTTAGTGACAGAAAATAGTATGTTAGGTGTGAATATCCTCGCTTTCCGAACTATAATCTTTCCTAGGAACAACTCCTATGATGATATATAGGCCCTTAAGGCTAACAATGGGTACAATGATATATCACGCACACTGAACTTTTGTTTAACATTTCTGGAAAGACCACCTATTTGTTCGTTTACCGGATTTCGCACGAAGTCATTGAAAGTTGTGAGTTTGCTTTGGCTTTGGTTGTGAAATAACATGATGTCTTCATCCCTTGTACGCCTTACATTCTTAAGGATTCAGACTTGGGACCATTATGTTTGCTTTGTCTTTTTTCTTGTGTTTCAATGAGAGCTTATAGGAATGGACCTAAAAGGAAAGAACAAATTAAAGATGAGGAAAAAAGATAACGAAAAAAAAAAAAAGAGAGAGAGAGAAAAATAGAAAAAGGTTGATTAAAATTAAAACATGTTAGTATCTTTTTTTGTTTTTCCGTCCAATGTCTGATATACCCTTTAGGATTCTTAATCCAGATTCATACTGTGAGCCTCGTTAAAGGAAGAACAATTTCCTACCAATTATTTTTCTATTTTTATGGTTGGACCCGAAATCTCTGGTTAACCGTTCCCTACCACCACAACCCTTGGTGCTTAAGATATTTTTTCTAGTTCTATTAATTCTATTTCATGTCCAGCTATCCTATAATTTTTGTCTCTTCCCAATTTATAATTCCTAATAATTATTGATAGATATGAATTTTTACACAAATGCTAGTATATGCCTTGATATCTAGTGATAAATTATTGTTTCTTTATATCATTATAAGCCACTAATTTTTTTTCTGATACCCCACAATAAAGAAAAATGAAAAAAAAGAAAGTGTCGATTTGTGGATCATGTTGAATAACAAGAAATGGAACTTTCAGTTGTATAAAAATCACATAAAGCCCTCTGTCTCAACAATATGTACGTTATTATTTGGAACTTTTCCTTGAACTTTTGAGTTAGAATTTGAATAGCACAAGTTATTTCCAAAATACATCCACATAATTTAATCTTTTAGACTTCCAATAATTTATTTTAGGTATGCATGAGAAGATCGCTCCAACCACCAGTCCACCACTAGCGTCGTGGTGAGATGGATAAGATCCCTCCGCTCTTAATTAGAAATTATCGAGTTTGAACCTAGGATAAAAATACCTGGTAGGGAGCTTTTCTCCTTTTCATGTGCCTTATGTACCGTGAATTCTGATTAGTCAGAAGTCCAAAATGAATACCAAACAACGGGCGAAAAATTAAAAAAAAAAAAAAGAAAAAGAAAAGGAAAAGATGATCACTCCAACCAAATCGCTCGCCTAGCAAGGACAATACTAGCTTTATAACATATTATATCCGATATATAACTGAATTTAAGTTATAAATACTATACAATTAAACTCAATATAATTAAATAACACGTTCTATAATTTACAATTAATTCCATTACGTGACACTCCATTTAACTTTCAAAATATTAACTAAAAATTTATGGCATGAGAGTAGGCAGTTATTGAGTAAATGAAATTAAAGCCATTAAGGTACTTATTACCAAGTCAATATATTATTAAAGGATAAATTTGATTAAATATACCTCTTGTTGCTACAACAGTATCTCAACTTTAGCGCAAAAACTTTGCAATTAGTTAAGCTTTTCAAGCAATATTTTATATTTACACAATATTACCCCTCATTATAATTTTCCTTTCGTAAAGAAACCACAGCTACTTCAATTATTTTCTCTTTCTTTCTTTCCTTTATAAGAAAATATGCTTTTCATTTCTTTATGAGAAAAAAAGGATGTATTACAAAAATAACCAAATTAAAGGATGCACACCCAAAAGAAGAAAGAAAGTGCATCCCTTTTCATAATTGAAGTATTTTCCTTTCAAAGACAAAGTTATTCTACATAAATAAATAAAAGTGATAGAAGTTTGTTTTCCATATATGTAAATTTTGGTGCACAGAGTTATTTAATATTTATGCTAGTGAAATATATCAAGTGTCTTGTTAAATAATTTAATTGCAGAAATGAATTCAGAATTTTAAGCTTATGGGTTCCTATAAAATTGTAAATTAATATATAACAATAATCGGACCAATGGACTGAGTTCCAAGTTAAATATTTTTATATAATTAATGGATTTTTACGTACAAAACCTGAGTGTAAGTAAAAAGAAAAATTACTAGGTTCACATGAACCCGAACCTATTGCACTAGATTCGACTATGTTTAATTGCGCGCAAGTTGATCTGGACACTAGCCTTGTGTAAAAATAAACAAAATTATTGTATTTCAAAATTTATCAAAATTTAAAGCATTAAGATAAACCATTAATCGGATAATCTAATAAGTTGTGAGTCAAAATGTGTGCCCCACCTAAGTTGTCCATTTCTCCTACTTCTTTTATAAAGCAGTTGCAACATCTCTTCCTTAACTTTCCCTCGTAACCAAAACACCCTCAAAACCTACGTACATAGAGTTAAAACACACACACACACACACTGAGTTAAAATATTTGTATAAATATCTTTACATATTTTGCTCTCATCAAAAGAATCAATAGAAAAGAAGAAGAAAGACAAGACAAAAGTGTCATTCTTTTTGTTGGTTTTAACGCTCCTTTCGCCTGTTTCTGTTTCTTTCTCCTCTTTTTGTTGAATGTGAAAAAAATGCTAAGAACAAATGTATTATTGCTGCTGTTCTTAGTATTATGTTCATTGGTTTTTTCTTCAGTAAAAGCCACTGTTTCTTATGATGACAGAGCTATAATTATAAATGGGAAAAGAAAAATTCTTATTTCTGGTTCTATTCATTACCCAAGAAGCACTCCTGAGGTAATTATGCAGCATCATTTTATTATTTTCATGGTTTTTTTTGCATAAATGGCCATGTCTTGTAATTTGGCAAATATTTTGTTTCCTTTAATTTGTTTTTTTTGGTTATAAAAATCTTTTATTTACGCATTTTATGGATTCTGAAAAATGGGTGTTTCTTGTATTTCTGTAATATTTGTTCTCTTATGCTTATAAATTTTTTAAAAAAAATTCTGAAATATTGTTTTTTTTTTTGTTATTGGTAATTTCAGATGTGGCCTGATCTTATACAAAAAGCTAAAGATGGAGGCTTAGATGTTATTGAGACTTATGTTTTCTGGAATGGGCATGAACCTTCTCCTGGAAAAGTAATTCCTTTAATTCTACTTTACTAATTTACTTTACTTTTTTTTAAGTAAAAAAAAAAAACATTTATTCTGCAATTAGTATCTAAAGACAAAATATTAATCTGATCATTTTTGTTTCATATTTCGAATTTTCAGTATAATTTTGAGGGGAGATATGATCTTGTTAAGTTCATCAAGTTGGTAGAAAAAGCAGGACTTTATGTCAATCTACGTATTGGCACTTACATTTGTGCAGAATGGAACTTTGGGTAATTTACAAAAAATAAAAAAGTTAATATATAAAGGATTTTGGTCTTTAATTTTTTGTCAGCTTCCCCTGTTTTATACTCTGTTTTTGTTTTTTTTATTTGGTTGCAGGGGATTCCCTGTTTGGCTAAAATATATTCCTGGTATGGAATTTAGAACAGACAATCAGCCTTTCAAGGTTTGTTTTTTACTTTCGCACCGTCTAAAAGTTTAAATTGTTAGAAAAAGTATATTTTTATTTAATTATATTATGTCTCGACCCTTTTCAAGTGTGAGCTTAATTCTTTTTTATGGGCTGAACACAACAACTACTCACCTAAGTCCCACACAGGTTGGGATTGACGATATGAATCCTCATTCTATTCGTCTAGTTCAACTCATATCATCATCAATATTAAAATAAAATAAAATCGTAAGTAAAGAATATAAATATAAATATAAATAGTAGCAGCAGCAGAAACAGTAACAGTAGCAATAGTACTACTACTGCATTAGCCGTAGTACTAGTGCACAAAGCATGGCACCCTAAGAAATATGATATAACAATACAATAATAATAATAATAATAATAATAATAATAATAATAATAATAATAATAATAATAATAATAATAGTCTGAACTGTTATATTGACTGGTTGACTATGATGAAGGTGGCTATGCAAGGATTTGTACAGAAAATAGTCAACATGATGAAGTCAGAAAAATTATTTGAACCTCAAGGAGGACCAATAATAATTGCCCAGGTTTGAAATTATGCTCATGCCTTGTCTTTAAATGATTTTGGAATTATTTTCCCCTAATTGTACTTTGTCTCCTAATTCTTGATTAGTGGAAAAAAAATATAATTTGATAATTAATGCTGCAGATAGAAAATGAATATGGACCAGTAGAATGGGAAATTGGTGCTCCTGGTAAAGCTTATACAAAATGGACAGCTCAAATGGCTGTAGGTCTTAAAACTGGAGTCCCTTGGATCATGTGTAAACAAGAGGATGCCCCTGATCCTGTGGTAAGCATTTCCCAATTTCCTCCTAATTTCAAATAATTGCATAATATTCTTTTTTTTGGGATTATTTCTCGATTTGTTCGTTTCAGCCTTACGAAGTGGAGTCTTGACGTAACTGGTAAAATTGCTGCCATGTGACTAGGAGGTTACGGATTTGAGCCGTGAAAATAGTTTTTTGCATAAATGTAGGATAAGACTGCGTATAATAGACCTTTGTGGTCCTGATCTTTCCCGGATACAGCGTAGCGTGAGTTTAGTGCACCAGGCTGTGATTTTTCTTGCTGCCATGTGACTAGGAGGTCACGGGTTCGAGCCATGAAAATAGTCTCTTGCATAAATGTAGGATAAGACAGCATATAATAGACCTTGCGATCCTGACCTTCCCCGAATCCCGCGTAGCGTGAGTTTTGTGCACCAGGCTGTGCTTTTTGTTGCTTCCATGTGACTAGGAGCCTAGGAGGTCACGGGTTCGAGCCGTGGAAATAACCTATTGCAGAAATGCAGGGTAAGGCTGCGTACAATGGACCCTTGTGGTCCGATCCTTCCCCGAATTTTGCGCATAGCGGGAGTTTAGTGCACCAGGTTGTGCCTTTTGGTCGTGTCATGCTTACATAGTGCCATGCTAATCTTCGTTGTATGTTTAGATTTACCTATCTCTGTTTGCCTGCCTCCAATTTAATGATAATGGGTCCCATAATATAGTTTTAGTAGACAAAGTTATCTTGTAATTGAGTTCAAAATTTCTAATCTTTTCTATATAAGTGATAATTATGGTGGCATTAGCTGTTACTAGCAAAGGTGAATCCAGGATTTAAGCTATATGGTTCAACCTTTTTACCATTAAACCCGTTATTTTTTTAATATTATGGATTCATATTTACTATTTATGGAATTTTAGTGAATTTTTACTCATTAACTTATGCTTCGCGCCGAAAGTTATGGGTTCAGTTGAATCCGGTGTCAGAAGGCTAGATCCGCCTTTGGTTACTCGGATCTTTTCTATATCAGTGATAAATATGGTGGCATCATCTATCTATAGTTTGTAGCTATGTTAATCCTTCAAAAATGCGGTCGAGTGTGTGTCTGAACCTTCAAAAGTAATGCGTATGTTGAGGATTCGATACGGATGCTGCGACAATTTTGGAGTATCCGAGCAACAAAGGTTTTGGAGGACTGGGTTTTAGTGACTTCATGACAGTACTCATATTTTTTTTTATTCTGATACAGATTGATACTTGCAATGGATTCTACTGCGAAGGTTTTCGTCCTAATAAGCCTTATAAACCAAAAATGTGGACAGAAGTCTGGACTGGCTGGTAAATTCCAAGAATGTCAAATATGTGACTATAACAGCTAATGTTACTGAACCACCTATTTTAGTTGCTTAATTCAACTACTCTACTATGTTTAGGTATACAAAATTTGGTGGTCCAGTTCCTCAAAGGCCAGTTGAAGATATTGCATTTTCAGTTGCAAGATTTGTTCAGAACAATGGTTCATTCTTCAATTACTACATGGTAAGCTTGACCTTTCATTTCGTGTTACAGTTTTTGCTGTTACTTAGAATATAAACATAGAAGGGGAGCCTTGACGTAACTGGTAAAGTTGTTGTCATGTGACCAAGAGGTCACGGGTTCGAGTCGTGGAAACAACCTCTTGCAGAAATGCAGGGTAAGGCTGCGTACAGTAGACCCTTGTGGTACGGCCCTTCCCCAGACCCATGCATAGTGGGAGCTTAGTGCACCGGGGCTGCCCTTTTTTTTTTTTTAGAATACAAACGTAGCTATTTGTCTTATTGATATGTTCTTGTATTTTATACTGTGGTTGCTTCAGTATCATGGAGGAACGAATTTTGGCCGAACATCTTCAGGGCTTTTCATTGCAACTAGCTATGATTATGATGCTCCTCTAGATGAGTATGGTACGATAAAAACCCGATATCTTCTCACATTTGCACAACAAAAACGAAAATAATGGAAAAAAATTTATGCAAATTTTTCGTGCTTGTCTTGACGATTCTCTTTGTGATGTTATAGGGCTGCTGAATGAACCAAAATATGGACATTTGAGAGACTTGCATAAAGCAATTAAGCTATCCGAACCAGCTTTAGTTTCATCATATCCAATAGTGACGAAGATTGGCAGTAATCAAGAGGTTCGTCGGATACAGAAAATTGTATGTTTATGGTCGAATAATCGTCTTGATTTATCTTCTAACTTTGTTTTACATTTTTGTGGCCAACACAGGCTCATGTCTATAGATCAAAATCTGGAAATTGTGCTGCATTTCTATCCAACTACGACTCGAAATATTCAGTTAAAGTCACATTTCAAAATAAGCCATATGATCTACCTCCTTGGTCCATCAGCATTCTTCCTGACTGCAAAACTGCTGTTTACAACACTGCAAAGGTAATAAAAGCAGTTTCAAATAAAGAAATCAATCATAATACTTTTTTCGAAAATACAGATGAACATTTAGGGGGAGAAGTTGTAATGTCCTTTATGTAATGCTGCAGGTTAGCTCCCGAAGCTCGAACATAAAGATGACTTCAATAGGTGGTGGATTGTCTTGGCAGTCATATAATGAAGAAACTCCGACTGCTGATGACAGCGATACACTTTCAGCCAACGGATTATGGGAACAGAAAAATGTTACCAGAGATTCCTCAGACTATCTGTGGTACATGACAGAGTGAGTAACTTCCATTTTCTTACTTTTATAAATGATTTATCTTGTTCCATCTTTACTTGACAGATCCTATATCCTCAACAGCGGAATCAGAAACTTATACAAGGGGATTCAAAAAAAATCTAGGATGTCATAGTTAGAATTTGAACTTATGAATTAAAGCAATTTTGAACCTCCTTTACGATTATACTTGAATATTTCTTCATGTCAAGGGATTCAACAGCTCACATATAACCAAAAAGATCATTTTTACTCTATTTGCACCAATATAATTTTTCGTGAAAGCAACCACTAATGCTTGCATTAGGATAGGCTGTCTACATCATACCCCTTGAGGTGCGGCCCTTCCCGGACCCTGCATGAGCGCCGGATACCTCGTGCATCGAGTTGACCTTTTTTGCACAGTATAATTTTCCGTCGAAGGGGGTTCCCCCTTGACACTACCTAGTTCCGCCACCGGATATCCTGATAATCTTGTGTTTACTTTCTCCAGTGTAAATATAGTATCTGATGAAGGATTTCTAAAGAATGGAAAGGACCCTTATCTCACTGTTATGTCGGCCGGTCATGTCTTGCATGTCTTCATCAATGGCAAACTATCAGGTATTGCAAACTGCACTCTATTTGGAAATATAGCAAAGTGATTTTCCTAAAAAACTACAGCTTTTTAAGTCTATTCTTATCTCCTTTTGATCTCTATACGTTCTTCACTTGTGGTAGGAACTGTTTATGGGACATTGGACAATCCAAAACTTACATATAGTGGCAGTGTGAAATTAAGAGCTGGTATTAACAAGATTTCACTGCTCAGTGTTTCTGTTGGTCTCCCGGTTAGTTTTCTACTTCCTGTTTCTCTGGCCCTTCAATTAGCAATGGTAACTTGAACCATTATTGTAAAATTTTATCTAACCTATGGTTTTAAATCACCATTTCAGAACGTTGGCGTGCATTTTGATACGTGGAATGCAGGAGTTCTAGGTCCAGTTACATTGAGTGGTCTCAATGAGGGTAAAAGAGACTTAACAAAACAGAGATGGTCTTACAAGGTTTGTTTACTAGTTGCTTCTGTTCTCTCCCTAAAGCTTGATATTCATATAATTTTGTGAGGAGACGAACCCGTGACCTATAAGTTGTCTCCGTGTGACCTATAGGTCATGGGTTCGAACAGTGGAATCAGCCACTAATGCTTGCATCAGGGTAGGCTGCCTACATCACACCCCCTTAGAGTGCAACCCTTCCTAGGGAACGGAAGATACTTCATGCACCGGACTGTTCTTTTGTTGAGGAGAAGAATGAAGCTACTCGGATGTGAGAGTAATGAACGATATATGGAGTGTTGATACCCCCGACTAATCTGTAATTTGCTTTTTGCAGGTTGGTCTAAAAGGTGAATCATTAAGTCTTCATACATTAAGTGGGAGTTCTTCAGTTGAATGGATTAAAGGTTCACTAGTGGCTCAAAAGCAGCCATTGACTTGGTACAAGGTAAAACTCGTATCAACATATTGACATGTTTTTATCAATTTTATGATCTTGAATAACATATTGTAGCGCGAACCACGTAGTTAATGTACAATTACACTTTTTCCAGGCTACATTTAACGCGCCTGGAGGAAATGACCCTCTAGCTTTGGACATGGCAAGTATGGGAAAAGGTGAGATATGGATAAATGGTGAAGGCGTAGGTCGCCACTGGCCTGGATATATAGCACAAGGTGACTGTGGAAAATGCAACTATGCTGGAACATTCAATGAGAAGAAATGTCAAACTAATTGTGGACAACCTTCTCAAAGATGGTAAGAGATTTCCATAATTCCTACTATAGTAGAGTTAAATATGGTACTATTCAACTCCAGTTTGTTTTGAAGTAACTTTGTGGAACTGTTAATATCAGGTACCATGTTCCAAGATCATGGCTAAAACCAAGTGGAAACCTATTGGTAGTATTTGAAGAATGGGGTGGTGATCCAACAGGAATTTCTTTGGTCAGAAGATCAAGATAAAAGAGCTTTAAAAGGTATGTGGATTCCTTTTTTGCATTACATTAGCAGTTAGGGAAGGGGAACCTTGGAGCAACGGTAATGTTATCTCTGTGACCTATAAGTCACAGGTTCGAGCCGTGGAACCAGCCACTGATGCTTGCATCAAGGTTGACTGTCTACATCACACCCCTTGGGGTGCGGCACTTCCCCGGACCCTGCATGAACGCGAGATGCTTCGTATACCGGCCTGCCCTTTATTGGCAGTTAGCATTTACTTTCATATTAACTGTTACCATGTTTTGCTTATACTTTCCTGTTATTTTCTAATATGGCAGTAAGCTTGTTCAGTAAATATGGTGCATGAATTCGGACGGGCAGCGTCGTCCGAATATATAAAAGAAGCTAACAGTGGAGGCTATTTGCAGCTGAATAAATCATTTTGAAGTACAGATTACAGGGATATAACTTTCAGAAAATTCCCTGTTATTTTCGTAAACCAATGCTTCTGTTTAAGCATTGGTTTAGGAAGTTCTATAGAACTCTGCTGATTGGATTATGTGATTGAAGAAATTGTACAGCTTCCAAATATCAATGGCCAGTATGATTTTGTATTTAGAGTACAAATAAAGCTCATGTATATGTACAACTACTATTTGTTGATCACAAAGTTGTGAAATAATACAAGTTTCATTATCAAGGAAGCCAATTTCCACTCTCGTCTACCCCTCTCTTTACCCTCTGTACCTGAACTTTCTTACTTATGCGATGAGGAGCTTACTTAGTATTGAAATCGAGTTGGCAGAAAGTACCAAAAGTTGACCGCCCGCCCTATCATCCCGTGCCTCAACCAATTTTTTTCTTGTCGGAAAATCTCTCTTTTGGCTTTTCTTTGTAACAGTACTACTACTATATTGCAATTTCTATAGAGCCTTGCATCATTCTTTTTCATTTTTATGTGAGTCAATTAATAGTTATTTGTCTCATCAAATCACAAATATTAGCCATTTTGTTGCCATCATACATTAGCTAAGCTAACACAGAGAATATCAACTATAGAGTAGATCATTATCAACTACAAATCTGATCAAAATCAAGTGTCTAAATTTGTTCCAAATTAAATCTTAGACAAGAGCAAAGGGACTTCATTTGTTTTTGTTGCCATTATACTTTGCTGCATTTTCTTGAACTTCATCAAAATTTGAAGCGAATTGTTGGTGTCTCACATCAGCTATGGGTGAGGTGTTTGGTTTCCTTATATGTTTTCGGGCAATACTCATCTCATGAGCTAACTTTTGGGATTGAATTAGGCCCAAGGTCCATTTTAACATGGTATCAGAGCCAGACCCACCAATTCTTATTTGACCGATATTGGACCCCCATCTTATATTGTCTATGCTCTAGGTGTCCAGTCTGATGTGTTTACGCAGATTTTGGCGCACATATTATAGCAAAATATTCAAGTGATATGAATCCACAAAATATGTTAGATACAAATCCAAACAGTTTGCAAATGTGTTTATTACGCTGATTTTCGTGCATATGCTATAGCAAAATTCTAAGTAATATGAATCCACAAGATATGTTAACATTGGAACACATGAAATGCATTAGAAGCAAAACGTTTCCTAACAAAAGCAATTTTCATACCCAGAGCTTAAACTCGAGCTTAAAATTGTTAGTATCAATACATATATGGTTTACAGAAGGGCCGTTCAGTTTTATTTTCTTACTAGTGAATTTGATCGCGCTTCGCGCGATAATAAAAGACCTTAATAGATTTAATAATAATTTTTAAATATTTTTAGAGTAATACAAATATTTTATAATTTAAACATTTGAAATACTATTTTTAATTCAAATGAATTAGAATAACACTTAATTGTGTTTTTTCCTCAAATTTTGATTTTTCTATAATTGTACAGGTGAAGCTTTTTATAAAAAAAGCATATCCATGAATAATGAATCTCAATAAAAATTGATAGCTATGTGGGTAATGTGTAAGTTTTACATGTATATATGTATTTTACATTTTCATTTTTGTTATAGAGTTAAATTATTTTCATAATTTTCTCCATGTTTAAAAATCAAGAAGAAAGATGAATTAAAGGGAGAAAAATATAGCACAAGTCTACGAAAATCAAATGAATTTCTTTCCCTCCTTTTGTTTCTATTTTAACATTTTTCTTTTTGTATTTTCCTCTTCTCCAACTTTCATACTTTTCTACCCATTTATTTTTGATAAAAAAGTCCATACTCTATATCGTTCTTCTTATCACTTTCGTAGCATCCCATAACCAATCACTCCTACGTTGTAATATAATATTTTTTTTACCCTCAATATCAACAAATTATTTCAAATTGCGCAAAATATAAAAATATGTTCTTTTTGTTGAAATTTCTCCTACAAATCCAATATAGAACTTCATAAAAAATGGGATGGCCAGGAAAAGAGAATCCACAAGAGCTTAAAATGAAAGTTAAACCATCGATCTCTTTGAAAAAACAAATGAAAGGATTGTAAAAGAGAAAGTAAAGAGATGTAAGTTCTGCAGGAGTTACATTTATGAATAATATCCTATGCATAAGTTATATTTGTAAATAATTTGTATTCTATGTCCATATAAAATATTTGTAAATAATTAATATTCTACGTGCATATAAAATGTGTTTGTTAGTTGCGCATCTTCATTGAAGGGAAAAAAGAATGTCCGAAAATGAGAAAGCAATACCCGAACTCATTCGAAAAAACCTTGAAAGGGCAAGCAAAATGGTAAAGAAATTACTGAAGCCTGCAACATGTGACGACCCGACCCGTCGTCTCATGTGTTAGTGCTCCGTTTCCCCCATTTTATGCTTCTTCATGTTTCGTTATCGGTATGTGGTGTGTGAGAGTTGATTGGATTGGCTTTGATAAGAAATGAGACACTTAGTCTCTTTAAAGAAGGCTTAAGTTGGAAAAGTCAACCGGATGTTGACTTATGAGTTATAGGGCTCGGATGTGATTTCCGGTGATTCGGTTAGCTTCGGGGGATGATTTGTGACTTAGGAGTGCGATCGAAATTTATTTTAGAGGTCCGGTGTAGAATTAGGCTTGAATTGGCGAAGTTAGTATTTTGGCGAATTCCGGTTGATAGGTGAGATTTTGATCCGAGGGTCGGAATGGAATTCCGAGAGTTGCTGTAGCTTCGATATGTGATTTGTGATGTGTGTGCAAAATTTCAAGTCATTCGGACGCCGTTTGGTTGGGTTTTTGATCGAATGCGTGTTTCGAAAGTTTTTAAAGAACTTAGGCTTGAATCCGATGAGAATTGATGATTTTAGTGTTGTTAGATGTGTTTTGATGATTGGAACAAGTTTGGATAATGTTTTAAGACATGTACGTGCTTTTGGTTGGGGTCCCGGGGGCCTCGGGTGAGTTTCGGGGTGGTTTCGGACCATTTCTAGGCCATTTTTAACTGCTGGTTTTTGGCTACAGCAGTGTTCTATGCGATCGCGGGGAATTGGTCGCGATCGCGGTGAGTAAAATGTGAGAAATGTGCCAATGAATCGCGATCGCGGAAAGCCGTTCGCGATCACGGAGAAGAAATATCCTGTTGCGTTGATCCCACTTTAGAAGCTTATATCTCACAATCTATAAGGAATTTGGAGATGATCCAAAAATAAAAATTGTAGCCCTTTGTGTATAGTTTTCAAATGTAAATTAATTGGAATTTGAAGTTGTGTACAAAAAGTTATGGTGGTTACACTATAGGCTGCCCGGGAAGGTCTCTAATACACAGGGTTGACTTTGAAAGCTTATATCTCGCAATGTATAAGAAGTCAGGAAATGAGCAACATATGAAATTATAGATCTATGTGTCTAGTTTTCAGAACATCAAACCATTTGTAATTTGGAGTTGTGTGCAAAAAGTTATGACCGTTATACTGGAGGCTGTCCGGAAGAGCTGGGAACTGTTCATCGCGATCGCGAAGCATTGACCGCGATCGCGAAGAGTAAATTTTAGGCTGGAAAAATTGTTCTCCGCGATCGCGAAGAGTAAATACCTGGGCAGAATGTTTAAAAACACGTCAGTTGCGATTTTGGAGTCATTTTACACCCATAGTTGCTCGTTTTTGGAGATTTTTGGAGGAGATGAAAGAGGGATTCAAGAGGAATCGACTTGAGGTAAGAATCTTTGTCTTAAAACTCGATTATATTGTGAAATACACCTAGAAATTCATGGAATTAAGCCTAAAATTGATGAGCTAGGGCTTGGAATTTTGAGAATTTAAATTGGGATTTGTGGGAGCATTTGGACTCCGATTTTGGTAAATTTAATATGTACGGACTCGTGGCGAGACGAGGAATCCGGTGATGTGAGTTTTGTAATTTTTCGAGAAGTGGGCTCGGGGCTCGGGTTTTACTAGTTTCGAGATTTTTGCTATATTTTGATTGTTTTCGATTGGGTATTGTTCCCTTGGCATAGTGTGATGTATTCGCTCTGATTTTGGTTAGATTCGACGCACGTGGAGGCCGATTGGAGGGGCAAAGGCGTCGCGGGCTAGATATTTCGCCGGTTCGAGGTGAGTAATACTTGTAAATGATATCCTGAGGGTTTGAAACCCCGGATTTGCACATCATAGTGCTGTATTGTGGTGACTTGCACGCCAGATATGAGCGTGGGGTAGAGCACCGTTGGGGATTGTGACTTAGTCCGTCCCGGTTGTTGGTTTTATTGCGCAATTGACTGAAACTACTTGTTATCATCATTATTTGGGTTGATTGCTATATTTGGGCTTCGTGCCAATTATTTGAATCCTTTAGGGATTATTATCAATGTTTTCATGACACTTAGCATATTAAATAATTTCAGTCCTGAGTTAAACCCTGCTTTGAAATGTGTAGTCATATTGCTAAAGTTTAAAGACTTAAATTGCATTTTTCTGATGTTTTGAGTTAAAAACTATTACCTGACATTGCCCGAGTGGCTCATTTGCATATTCTGGACTGAGGATGGATCGGGCAGCGATGCTATGATGATATTGCGCTTGGGCTGTAGGAGCCCCTTCGGAGTCTGAACCCCCACAGTGAGCGCGGGTACCCAGATGGATCGGGCTGCACGCCGCAGCGGTCATATGCATTGCATTGCATTGGTTCCTATTTGTACTACGTGTCATGACATTCAGCACTCTCATATCATTGGCATCCATGCTACTTCTTGTACCGCTTACCAGACGCCCTGGTGTTAATTGTTTGTGGAGTGCTGTGCCCGAGGGGCTGACTTATGTGCGGACTTGCACTATCTGATTACGCATTCATTTGCTCGATTGTTGGAAAAAGATGTTTTCAAAAGAGGTTTTAAACTGAGTCAGATATTTTCTAAAGGATTTTCACGGTTTCATTATTTTTCTGAGAGAGTTGTACTGCCCTATATAGCGTGATGGAGTGCTCTTACGTGATTTCTTGCCTCTCAGTTATTATTTACTCTTATTACCACTGAGTTGGAAGTACTCACTTTAGTCCCTGCACCTCGCGTGCAGTTGCAGGTATTGTTCACCCGGTAGCGGGTTATTAGCTGATTGAAGGTAGGGCTATTGTAGCTGAGCAAGGTGACCGCCAGCGTTCGCGGCACCGGATGTTGTCTTTTGATTTTCCAGAATTTTTCTTTATATATTATTATTGGCCCTGTCAAGGACTTGGCAAAAACCTCCAAGGAATCGCTAAGCCTATCAAGCT